GCTCACTCGCTCCCCAGGGCTGCTCGGGAGGAGGAGGATGGACCCAGGCCCTGGTCAGAGCTGCCACTCCAGGGACTGGGATGCTGCCCTGGGGCGATGCTGAACTGGGAGCTGCCGAGAGCGAGCCCCAAGCCTTGGCAAAGGCTGTGCGGTAATTTGACGGGAGATCTTCATTGCCAGGGCTGGGTTTGGATGCAGGTGGCCACGGTGACGCAGCGAACAAGCTCCCTGCCTTCCAGCGCTAGCTCTGCAGAGAAGAAGAGGCCGTGGCTGGAGGCTGCGCAGAGGGGGAGCAGGAACTAAAGCCAGCAGCAGTCCTGCGCGGGCTGGTGTCCCCGAGGCACAGCGAGGGAAGAGGAAGCGGGGAACTCTGTGCGGTGGGGAGAGCCTCGGGCTCGCGGATGGAAACGTCCACACACAGCCCCTAGACAAGCACAAAACAGTCACAGCTTGGGAGGTTGAGGGTTTAGGGTGGGAGAGAGCAAAGGCAGAGCAAGTGGAGACAAAACTGAGGTAAATGCTCTCCAAGGAGGTGCCGGGAAATCCCACGCTGAGGACCAGCAAGGGTGGGCATCCCTGAGGGGGAGGGGGGGCTGAGCCACCACCCAGGACAGATTCAGCTGGGTGACAGGCAAGCACAGGGCTCTCTTTGCAGTCGGGACGGGTGCTAGGGAGAGATAGCAGGAGTTAAGGCTGGTGCAGCTTCAGATAACGCCTGAAGGAAGAAATAGTGATTAGAAGATTTGAAGGGAAAAGGAAAAAGCGATAAAGCAGATGCACGTAGCAGAGGGTGAGCTGGCCAGCTCGGCCCCATCGCTCACTCCAGAGAGACTTGGACTTTGCAACAAAGGAAATGATTCAAGCTGCTCACGTATGTCCCCTGTGCCTGACCCCAGCTTTCGGGATGGTCCCTGGGCTTGTGCCAAGGCGCAGCACAAAGCAACACCTGTGCTTGCCCCACCGCGGGTGCAGACCAAGTCGCCCTTGGCTTATCTGAGCACGCAGCTCCCGCTGTGCCCACCCGTGCCATGCAGCAGTGTGGGACATGCAGGGCTGGACACTGGCAGTCCCCATGCCACCATACCCCATAGAGGGAGGGAGGCACAGGCTGCAGGCACCCCATAAACTAACTGGAAACCCACAGATGACACACAGCATGGTCCACCGGAGGGCACAGGGAAGTGCCCGTGCGCTGCAGGGGGGCACCTCATGGCCAAGAGGCTTTTGGCATGGCTTTTCCCAGGGAAGGACCAGGCACCCATCCGTCCGCACGCACAAAGGGCTGCCTGGTGAGGGGAACATCACCCAGCCTTGGTGACACCGAGCAGTGGCCCTGCATTGACCCATGGGCTGGGGCAGGAATCCAAGAGCTGGCTGCGGGCAGAGCACGTTTGGGGACCCCGGCAAGAGCTCTCTAGTCCCAGGCACAGCCCCAGCTTGGGGCAGCCGTGGGAAACCCTCCCTGCCCCTACCCCTGCGCCCTTCCATCGCAGCTGGACATGAAGAGCGCAGCCGCATGCCTGCAGCGCACACAAACACCCCGTTTATTGTTTGACACCAAAAAAAAAAAAATCACAGCTTCGGAAAAAGTCAGGCTCCTTGCAAAAATAAATAGTCACATTTTTTGAGCAAGGGGCCGGGTGGAGCAGGTTCCCACTGGCCAGCAGTGCGGGCTGTGGTGGCATGGACAGCGCGAGCTGCCCTGAGCCCACGGGGTCTGGCTGGGGGTGGGGGGTTGAGGTCCCACCTGGGGCAGTGCAAGGGGTGGCCCCCCTCCCACTCATACTGGAGCGTCATCCATCACATACTGGGAACTGGGGAGGAGGTTTCAGCCAGGGTGGTCCCAACCTGCTCCTCAGCACCCAAAGAAAAGGCGCAGCAGACAGGGCAGCCGTGTCCATCTCCTCCGTGCCTGCACCATGGGTGATGGGTGCTAATGCCTCATGGATGGGCGGGGGATTTTGTAGAAGTTGAACGTGGGTGGCCTGGAAAACCAAAGTCACCTGTGTCACCCCCAGCCAGAGCGGGGAGCAAGGGACAGCCCGGGATGCACTGGGGTGGCCAAATGTCATCCTACAGCTGTGACCCAGCCCCACAGGGAAGACGGTATGGAGACCCCCCCCACCCCCACCCCACCAGCCTGGGGGAGCCTGGAGCAGCAGG